TCCTCCTCTGGTCCTGAAGGAACGGGCACCTGGGGTATTCTCTTAAATTGTTTTTCCTTAAGTGTTTCTAATTTTATGACTTCTCTTCAGCAATTGTAGAACTCTTTTTATCTTTTGGGTATTTAGGTCACAGAACATCTTCCAAAGGGCTAGTCACCCATCTATGGAGTGCATGCCTTTGGAACTGGATTACAGTGAAAAGTGTAGCTAGGAGATATTTCTAGAAATTTTATCATGATGGCCAGTTAGCCAACCTTTGGCATTTTGATTTTTAAAAACAGACCTAATGCGTTTGCCTTAGGAGGACTCAAGAAATTCATCTTGCCAAGTTCGTCAGTGATGCACGAATACAGATAGAATTTTTTTAAAAATTGATCCACTTCTAAATGAAGGAAGCCTGACTGCAACCCCATAACTAAAACCAGTGCATACAATTAAATATTAGGGCCCAACAATTAGCATTTGTGGCAGTGGCTCGAAGGAATTTCGTATTTGGAAGTTTTTCCATACTTTGAAAACATACTTGACGCCTCATTTCTTTGAAGGCTGCTCAATAGACACCAGGAGTCAGTAGCTGAGCCGCCCCCTCCCCAGCGGTCCTCTTGCGTGCAGCCTTTCATCCACGACTTGAATTGTGTTGTCAGAGTTTAGTAGACAAGAGGGGAGGGGGCATGAGAACCGGAGGATGTCTTGAAAAGTCTTGGAAATCGGTATATTTTGCAGGTGTAGAATGTGCCTAATAACCATGGCTAGTGTGCGCTCCCCAATGGCGAGGGTATGACAGGGACAGCTGGCTCAGTTTTCAGTGTGAAAACACCCCCTCCGTGGACCAAACACAACGGACACTGACCTTTCTGCGGGGGGAACCAGAGATGTGTCTTTGACTGAATTAGCCATAAAGACGTCTTGCTATGACTTTTGTTCCCCACGAAAGCAAAGAAATATTGCGTTTAATATGAGAAGTACTGTTCACAGCTTTTCCGTGCCCCTTAAGAAATATTACAGTGCTGATTTACTGGCCCTCTTCTGCCTTGTTGGCCCCAGGGCGGCCTGGGGGAGGAGGGAAGGGGATGGGGCAGAGAGGACAGAGGAGGAGGAGGCAGAATGGGTGAGTTAAATTGCCTGTTGCCTGTTTCCAAAGTTCTTTTTTGCGGCAGCAAATTTATCAATCTTTTCAACTGACAATACTTTGAAATATATCATTGTCATCCAGGGTTGTTTGATATATTATCTGAAGGCGCACAGTCTTTTCCAAGGTCAAGTTGAAGATTCTTGTTTGCTTTTTAACTGGCTTGTTTAAAAACTCAGAACAATGCCTGCCTGTTAAATTTTTCACTTGTTCTCATGGGGGTATTCAAAACCAAGCTTTCCCGTTGACCTGGCCTCTGGACATTTCATACTTTGGAGCTAAATCCAGCAAACTGGGCTTGTCAATGAAATCAACTGAAGAAATGAGACTTAACCTCACCACTGGCAGAATCTGAGGAGAGTAAGGCATCTTTCATAGCTTTTCCGAGTGTGTAATCATTTTTCTGTGGGTGTCATGGAGTGGTTATAACCACACACATCTCATTCAGCATTCTAAGTTTATTTCAGTGGGAGGCTGTCGATACACTCCCCAAAGTAGAAAGGCAAAGAAACGGGGACCCGGTCTTGTTTTTTGCCATAGCACAACCTGTTGCTCAAAGGACACTTTAAAAAATAAAGTCAGCTTCTAAACAGCTATGTTTCAGGGACATATTTATTCCTGCTTTTAATTGCAAAACTGGCCTCACAGTTTCCCTATATCTGTGATGATTGATTTTTTTTAATTCAGCTAACTTTTATTTACCTTGCAATAATGTTCTGGACCAATGTGATAAATTACAGATATGCAAATTTCTTTGAATAGTGTTGTAAGTGTGTCTAGCTGGAGCTGAATAACTCCTTGCAAGTCAGTCTGTGCGTGCTCAGGACCCCAGGGAGCTGATCAAAGCACCCATTCTCTTTCATCCCCGGTATTCTCCTCCAAACTATTTCGATACAATATGTTTCCATGATGCACTTAATGTGCTAGGGACATAGAACTCATTACAACCTAGCTAGTTCTGGCGACCTCTTTGTTCAGAGGCAGAAAGTCAAAGAAAAGAGGAAAAGCCGTGCCAGTTGCCAGCTTTCTGAAATGCTAAAGCATGCGTCATTTTTCACCAGGTCTCTCTTGATATCCTCAAAAGACAAACTATGAAACCGGCCTCAGCCCTTTCTAGCATTAATTACACTGCTGTCCAGTGGATCTGTTTTTCCTATTATATGCATTTCTCAGCAGGGATTTTTTTTTTTTTGCAAGACTAATGCAGCTGCAAGTTAAACTATGAATGCATTTTTATCACTATGGAAAAAATAAGGGAAAAGGCTACAAAACATACAGCAAAAGTTTTGAAAGACTTCTGGTAGAAAAGGGATTTAAGGCAGGACTTGGGGGGGGGGCAGTTGCAAGTCCTGTAACCCTGAAATTGACTGAGAGCTTGAGAAGTCCCAGTGCACTCATTCCTGTTGTGTGGAAACACTTAATGTGCCATCTGAAATTCTACTTTGGTGCCCTGATAAATCTGGAAGGTAAACATTTCTGTTCAAATTCTGAAGTGAGACAGTGTGTGCTGTAGTGAACCAGGAGGTTGCTCCCAAGGAATCTAAGTCCAGGGTAATGACACAGAGTATAAATTTTATTTGATTTCCTTCGATTCTTGGGGGGTGGATTGGTTGGTGGAAATGGCTGGCAGCCAGTTCTGGGAAAGATTCCAGACCTGCCTCCGATTAACCCTCTCTGGTGAAACTCTGCTGGAAACCAACTCACCAGCAATTGCCATTAATCTACTTACTAATTAAGCCAATTCATTTCTAAAGGAGAAAAATTCCTTTCTTTAGCCAAACTGATGGGAGGAAATTTGAAAGAAGCGCCAAACTGTGTAACTGTAATTCAGCCAAGGACTGCTAAAACAAGGTGTTGATATATAGCAGCAGATTTAAAACAAGTTTCTAGGGCAACACTCCTTTGGAGACGGTGGCATATAGTGCATAGTAGATGAAGCTCGAATAATGCTCCGCAGCGCTGTGCCACCCCATGTACTAGCGTTCAAAGTAACAGGTCTCTCTCCAATTAAACTTTGTTCCTTTTACGCACAAATAAATCGCTGCTCTAGCTTCCTTTCAGACGGGAGTATGTCAGCTTTATGTGACAACTACCACAAATACATTTCTTGAGACTTAAGAAATAGCATTAGAAACCTACAATCCAGAGCCTGGTGGGTGCCCAAAAGGCCTGAAACTTGTAGTGTAACAGGAAGGACCAAGCTGAACATTACGCACAGAAGAAAGGAAACACTGTTTTCAGGAAATGGTACCTGGCATTCCCAACACGGTACCTGTATATGAATGTTGCTTTTTGGATTTATTGAAAAGCAAAACTCCAAAGAGTTTACTCCACACACTAAATAATTGTCTGCTGCTTTGAAGGTCGCACTGGGAGAACTGTGCTGATGTAAGAGTAGAAATTCCCACAGGACATGTAAAGTCCCCTTGGAGTTTTTAACCTTTGTGGGAGTTAACAGTGGTGAGGAACCAGCAAGTCAGTTTGACACTGTTTTAGAGAAACTTGGATGAATTAGAGCCCACTATTCTTAATGCCTTAAACTTTTTAATGGAAGTCCAGTCTTTCCCACCCTTGGGTGATGGGGTACACCCCAGAGCCTGGGAGCTTCCCTCAGGATCTGTGTGTCTGGTCGGTTACCCAGCTCACCAGTCACCCAGTACCGGTAAGCAGTTTCCTAAGTGATTAGAAAGGTGCCAGCAAAGGCGCACATCTGGGTGTAGAGTGCGGTGCACGGTGCACTTGCAGAGTACATTCCCTGCAGCAGAGCCTTGGAGAGAGTATGTCCCTGCCAGGGACGCAGACCTTACTCAGGCCAGGATGTCTGGCTCCCATTTTGTGCTGATTCATTAGATGGGGTTGCATCATCCCTGGAGCTGATCTTCATTAAGGGTAACTTCAAAGGCTGCCTAAAGGCTGGAACTGAGGAAAGATGAGCAGACATAAACTTTATTTTACTCACTGTACAACCAACACTCCCCACGCTTTCTGCCCCTGTGGTGCTGCTTTTTTACTGGGTTTTCCCAGGCCTGGCCTAGTTGAGGGCCTCCTCAGTAACCAGTAATGTGTTGGGGATGTAGGCTGGGTGGTCACACCCTCCCTAGATTTCAAAATAGTATATGTCAGCCAACTTTTCCTCTGAAACAATTCTTTTGCTGCCCCAGGCTTCAGAAATGTTCTTAAGTGCCTGAGAACAAGGTCCGTTAATAGCCTTCTGCTGAGAAATAGGAGCCACTATAAGAGAATTTTTTAAAAAGTGGAAAAAGTTGTCTTTACATTTCCATTGCAACCTTCCCTCCCTATGACATAGAAAATTATAAATGGGAAGGAAAGAGAAACAAAGTGGCGGGAGTCCTGAGATTGGGGAATTAACTGATATTCTTCCCCCTCCTCCCAGGCTGGGCTCTGTGCCTAGGGAGGGAGATTTACCTGGGGTGTAATTGTGCGGGAAGTGTTGGGGGTCTGAGGCAGGAAAACCACAACACGGGATGTGATGTTCCAGCTTTGAAGGGGAACAAAGGCCCTGAGCTAATCCCAGTGAAAGCCAGGAGCGTGGAGAAGGCAACAAAGAATTGCAGGCTGCGGTCACCGGTAGGTGTCAATGTGGACACTTACAGCCAGGGCAGTGGGAGAGGGGAACACAGAGCCAGGCTGTCATTCCAAGGCTTAACATGAACAAAGATAAAAACGTGACAACTTTGGCTTTCAATAGTTGTGAGGTTCAAAGTGGAGTACTTGGGAGTTTATCTGGGTCAGGTCTTTTCTGAAAAAAGGCCTTTCTTTTTCTAGTCAAGGATCAACCAGGGAAGCCCTAAGGGCCTTTTCCCAAGATAACTTTTCTTACTCAAAGATTTTTCCAAGGAACATTCAGTTGTACTCTCTGCCTACCATGAAGAGAGAGATGAAGCTTTGCAGATGTCTGGAAACAGTAACAAGGGCCTTGTTTTTTCTTCTCCAGAGAAAATGAAGTGTTTATGAACTTGAACAGCCTACCTAAACTTTTTGTTCAAGCTTTTTTCACACATTTAATGAAAAGAAGTGAGATTTCCTCTTGCAAAACTGTACATCGTATAGATGATGCATCTGTGTGCCCATGGTTGATGGGTACCACAGTTTCCAAAGTCTGTGTCTTGCATGGGAGTGGGAAGGATAAAGGGATGATAGAAACCCATGAAGTGAAGGATGCTCAAGATTTTAGTCTCAAATGTCAGCAGCAAGGCATTTACCAACAAGTCAATTGTCCCTGTAATCAATGAGAGGTAATTGGAGACCTACTAATGCGACTCGTGAGCAAAGATTGTCTTAGAGAATTAGTAAATGGGCATGATAAGAAAGTTATATTTGTCCTAGGAATGCAGAAACATTGTGTCCATAACTTCTGTGGTACTACTAAAATACCAAAATACAAGTTTAAAATACATAATGAAGTAAAATTTTCTTTAGTTGAAGTCTCTCAATTAATAAAAACAGGATGTAAATATTCTTGGAAGACTAATGACATTTCACAGGTAATGCAATTTGGAAAGAAACACTTCCATGTTTTCTTTTCCAACAATGTGCATTTTTGTAAACTGCTATAAATTGCAATTCAAAAGCACTGATCTCACCATCCCCAATCATTTTTTATACTGATCAAATGAATGCAGATACTCCCATTTGGGAGGGGCGACATGACATTTCACTCGGCAGTTCTAAACAGGTCACAGACCTTTCACAGACCCTAAGGCAGTGGGAGGGAGCTCTTTACTAAACCGTGTAACCAAATCAAACCAATGGTTACCCCTTTTCAAAACCATTGGAATGGTTTGCACAATGCTATTCACATAGCAGCACAGAAACTGAAAGGATGGTCATCCAATGGAAATTTCTTTCCTTTTGTTTAAACTTGCAGAGCTCAAAAAGTAATACTTGAAGGAAAACAATCACATGTGCGATGATAAAATCATATACAATACATATGCATTTTTGTTGACACTACAAGGCACAGCTGGTGCCGGCTATCTGTATGTATACATATACACATGCATGTATGTATATGTATGTATATTTATTGGAGATGCTGCTTTGTCTGAAGCCATAGGCACAAAGACACGACGTGGCTGCCCTGGAGATGACCTATTGCTTTCAAGTTGCTTGAACACATCAGAATTTCCATTGTTAAGGTTGATTAATTGAAACTGATAAGTTACCATGAATAAAGATTGTTTTTCTGTTTAATGTGGTGGGCCTGATTTGGTAAATGCCTCATTCATGTAGCTTTGCAGTGTAGCATATGGGCAAGAGTCATTCAGTATCACAAACATATACAATTTATTATGCTTGTATGGGCACAACCAAAAGGCCTTTCTGTTTTAATGACAAAGTTTCAGTTAAAAATTCCATATAAAGAGTCACTAGTAGCATGAAGTGTGATTTTGTAACTTATTCTTAGAGTTTCTGTGAATGATTTCAAAAATGCAGTATCTACATACTCTATAGTAAAAAAAATACCCATACGCCCATATATTTAATTTATACCTTGGCATAAGTCATTAGAAATAGAGCAGAATCTACCTTAAATATTAGCAGACATGTATGAAGAGAAAGCAGTGTCATTTGGTGCCATCTTGCATGGCACACTGTTGGCAAAGTTACCATAAATGCTTCATTAAAATACCACCAATGAGATTTCACACTGCCCAGTTTACCAAGATACTTAATCAGGAGATTGTTTGGTAAACAACACGTCAATATAATGATACTGTTTTTCTTAGTAAAACCAGAAGACAACATTTCAAAACTAATTTGGGACTACACATTAAAACAATTGATTTCTGCACAATTTAGTCATTGTTAACTTTTTTTACTTAAAAAAAAAAACCTGAAGCCTTTTAAAAGAAGAGTTAAGTACCCAGAAACTGATGAATATTTAACAATAAAGATCAGATTGCTGCGTTTTATAATATACAGAAACGATTTTTGCCTTTTTTTGCATTTAAATTGCTCACATAAAAGTAATAACAACAACAACAACAAAAAATGAAAGACATGCAAATGAACTAAAGAATTGACTGTACCAAACCATCAAAGAGATAGTTACCATATTCAGCCTTTAATGTCTCATCAAATAAATTTTCTGGTCATTCATGTCCATGAAACAGTTCAAGTTCACCCAACATTTCTCAATTACATTAGATGGGTAATCTCAGTTCAACTCTTCTGGAGAGTAATAAACCACATTGGTCACAGTTGACCACAGCTAGTATGTGTTTTATAAAGGACTGGATGTCCATTGGAAAGCTAATCAGCACACCGTCACTTGTAAAATTCCCTCCTGCATTTTGAAGTGATAATCTGTATCTAATTTTTAAAGAAAAATTTACCGTCCTTTCACTCTTCTGAGGCCAATTTCTTTTCTGGACCTGAATAGAGATCATTGGTGAAACAGTACCAAATAGCTCTGGTATGTGTGTAACAAAAACCCGCCTCTTTGTAGAACATAACAAATTATGCAATGTTCACAGACGCGCTTCACATTTGTGCCTTTTGTGAGAAAATGAAGGCCCAACTCTCTTCCCCACCCCCTCTTTATGAAAGACTGGACTATCAGTGCAATCTTCCCAATCCTGGGAAAACACATTGAGTATGGGATCTTAAAATACTTATTTCTAAATATATTTTCATTTGGACTTTTGCTGTATGTAAGTTTGCAAGTATGAGTTTGAAGTTACAAGCAGCCATTTATTCCGGCGATCAAGTAAACGACTTGGAGATTGAACATTAAAATGTTACCACTTCCCGCAAACCATATTTAACATTTAGATATTCATCAGAAATGCTGTTACCGCACAATTTCATGCTTGAACTTGCAGAGTCCTGAAAAAATATGGTAGTTTTTCAGTTATGACTTTTAAAATACATACATTAGAATATTTTAAACTCTGCTTCTCTACTTGTGGGTTTTGGTTATTCTGATGTGAGAAGAGGCTGTTTGCTAACAGGAAGGTTAAATCGTGTGGATCCCCTCGGGGCTTTGTGGTTCCTTCCCATGTTGACCTTGGTTTTGGCCGTGTGACTTCCTTTGAGATCGACCAGACTTGAACAATCCTTGCGTACTGGAGTTTGCTCTCACTGCTCTTGAGAACTCTGAGACACTTTCAAATTTGGATTTGCCTACTTTATAATGAGAGGCATGAGGTCTGCTTAGCCCTGTCAACCTAGCAGAGAGGCAGCATGAGGTCACTGGTGGCCAGCCAGTTGACCAGAATGTGAGTGAGCCTAACAGGACTAGGAAGACCAATCATCTATGTGAAGACACATTTAAGGGTAGAAGCATGGCATAGCATGAAATAGCAGGGAACTGCAGGTCGTCTGTCATGACTGGGAAGGTCACATGGGAGAGGCAGCAGTTTTGATTGTCCTCCAGGCTACACTGAAGGACTTGATTGTTATCCTGAAAGCCTTAGAGATCTACTGAAAAATTAAGGGGATAACACAGTATGAAGACGTGAGCCAAAGAATGACTTAGAGCAGGAGCAGAATGAAGAGGTTGTGAAGGACTATCATATCATGTCAGAATGACATTTTAAAAGTCCAGGGGGCATCGTGAGGCTTAAGGCCAAAGGTATGGAGTTTCAGCTCTGCAGGGTGAGTAACTGCTGGAGAACTAACTTGCAGCAGGGTAACAGCAGCTAACAATATGGTATTGTGTCTGTGGAATGTGCTAAGAGGTGAAGTCTTAAGGGTTCTCACCACAAAAGAGAAAGAAGAGGATGAAGGGAAGAAGGAGATGGAGAAGAGAAAGGGGAAGAAGACAGAGGTAACTAGGTGAAGTGATATGCATGTTAATAACTACTTGATTGTAGTATTATTCTCCTTAAATACATATTTTTTGTCAATTACCTCAGTGAAATGTAAAGAATTATGGGATGTTTCCTAGTAAC